GCTGACAAGCGTGTTGGCACGCGGCGTTTGGGACGTGTGGAAAAGTTCTTGACGGGCATATTCAAGCGACGCGGTGCCGGCGTCGATAGTACACGCGACAGCCAGCGCAGTCATGTTGGCCTACTTGGCGGCATGTGGCAAGCTAGTGCGGGCGTGTTATGGCAGCGACGCACAGAGGGCGCGGAAACGGCGGAGAAGTCGCCATTCGGCGCAGAGCATCGTCTGAAGGGCATACGTTGCAGTGGCAGTGGTAATTGATTGAAATTCACTTTTTTATTTGCGTCAATTTTTATTTGGTTTTTAATTGTTTTTGTTTTGCTTTGCATTTGCATTATCTTTTCCTTTTTTTGTATGGCTTGAACACACACACACTCATCACCTAACAACACAAAAAAAAAACAAAAAAAAACTCACAACTTGTAGTTACGTACAAAAAGTCGCCAGTGCGCAGCACGTCGTCGCAAAGCGGCACTCCTGGCGCCACTCATAGCAGTAGCGGTAATTGTAATATCAGCAATAACAACTACAACAACAATAGCATCAACAATCACACTAGCATGCCGCTTAGCACAGTTGCGACCACAAACGCTAGTGCTGCTGCCGAGCTTAATGCAAACTTCACAACAACACAATCTGCTTCTAATATAACCACTACAGTCACAACATCACCAACAGCCATAGTCGCAGCGAAAGCACTGCGACCACATCAATCGCCTCCAGCTATGCCGCCGCCTATGCAGCCACCAGTCAGCAATCCCCGATCACCTGCCTCTGTGACATTTCAAGTGCCTTCATTCGACAGGACCCAAGCGAGGAGCATCCACAGCATGGGGACGGTCACCAACGGCGCGAATGGGATCGTCAGCGCAAGCAACAGTTGCAACGGGAACAGCAGCAGCAACAACAACAACTGTACAACCCTAACGCGTGGACGACCGCAACAGCTACACCGTGGCATATTGAAGAGTCCTACGCCGCCGCCACGTCCACCACCGCCTTTCAAGGCGGCGCCACCGCCAATACAGAAACGCAACGTGGCAACAGTTACACCGACGAAGGTAGAGAGTGTACAAAGTAAGAAAAACTCATTCATTCATTCATTCATTCACTCCATATACTCATTACATACACAATCGTATTATACATTTCATTACTCATTCATATATACATGCATATATTATATTCATATATAACTAAAAGCGCTAAACTGGTTTTCTATAATTTTTGCGCTTCATCATTATCATATTTAGTATATATGTATAGTATGTATGTGTATTATTTACTAGCTTATTTGCATATTTTAGGTTATGTTGAGGCTAAAAGGGAGAATGTTATATAAAATTTGTTCGATATTCTTTTCGAAATACTATAGGGTTTTATATGTACCATTCTATAGTAGATAATATATATAATATTCGGCCACAAGCTCAATGAAACGACTTATTGCCCTTTTTAAATGCGGAGAGGCATAGTCAGACCAACATCCAAAATTTTAGGAAATGTGGTTTGAAAAATTTATTTTATAATTGCGGTCTCAACTCAGCAAGGATATCTAATCCCTAGGAGTGTATTTTCATTACGTAGCAGGTCGGATCTGGCTTAGAATAAATTACAACTCGTGCTCTTTGATGAAATACGAAAGATTATTATTTTCTCAAGTCATCTAGGCTGGAATACTCTTTACCTATAAACTCAGTTTTTGGCTGTTAGAAGAAAATAATCTAACTTTCTCAAAGCTATTAATTTAGTTAGTTCCATCAAACTATCGTAAAAATTCATAGCGCTATCAGACGCAAAATTTCAGGCCTTTAAGGACTTGAAGTTAGTTATGCCATTGCATATGTTCAAGTTCAAGTCGATAAATGTTAAGTTTATTCTTCTTTTTAGTTGACGCATACATCGCCAATACGGTTAAAAACGGGTTAAGAATAGTACAGTAAGGATAGCCATTTCTTCATTTCCTCGTTTGGCGTTAATTAACTTAATCTCTCCAAAGGAGTGGAGGTTGCGGTTGCTGCATCGCATACATTATGGACTGTCTTTTTATTCGAACAAGTATGTCAATGAAGGCTATAATCTCGTGAGCGGTGACTAAGCCAATGAAAAAGAAGTTGTCAATTCTTATAATATTTTTTTGTTTAATCGTAATCTTTGACCTTTTTTATCTTTCCTACATAATCGCCATTGATTTCAATGCATTTGTTAAGCGTGTAGATCCATTTCTGAAAACAGTCTTCAAAACAATGCATTCTTAGCTTATCAAGTACAGCATTAACCGCATTAATTATCTCCTCGTTGCTATTGAAAGGTTTTTCCCTTTTGATTTTTTGTTTAATTTTTGGAAATAACCAGAAATCATACGGTGCTCCGATGAATATGGTGCCCAGAGATCGCAATAAAATTACTAGTAATTTCAGCAGAGTGGGATGACGCAGATTGAGCAAAATGCACTCGAGCCTGTTTTTGGTCCTCATATAAAATTCGTGGCACTCATCGAACAGATTTCTTCTGGTATCCCAAATGATTACTAAATATTCGCGATAAAGTTTCATTAGCGATCATTTCTTGTGTCAATCGTGGGTCTTCGTCAATTTTGGACTTCGCCAGAGCTACAGTGACGTCATCAGCGGAAGATTTTGGTCGACCTTCTACGGGCTCGTTCTCTATGAAAAAATGTCTGGTCTGGAATTATCGGAACCACTTAGAAATAATCTTTAGAGGTTTTATTACGCCGAAACCCGAAGAGAATCACATGGCAAATTTCTGTTTGCATTGGTGGTGGAATTTCGTCTGATCCATCCTCAGCTATCTTTTATTTTCTCGTCTCCATTTTAGCCGACTGCTCTAAAGTTTAAAAGGAAAATTAGTATTAGCAATGGATTTGGTATTTTTAAGTTAACAAAAACAAATTGAAATTCAGCAGCTCACCAAACTTTAGTTAATCCCCTCGCATCTCATATACTCGTATACATATATATAATTGGCGCTTTGAAACCGCTGAAGCGATTTTGGGACGAGCGCCTCCTCCAATTTGTGATTTTTGCGTAGTGATGTTTTACCAACAAATGGAGAGACCTACAGTTTATATTGTAAAAAGCCGCCTCCGAACGGCTGATGCTTTTGTTGTGAGGAGCTTTTGTTTCATCTCAGAAATGCACTTGGAGGGGTTGACATTCCCTGCCGAGAGGCGACCGCAGTTAGAAAATTTAACTTAATTTTTTATTTAAATTTATTTTCTATCACCTTCTGGATGTTAGTTCGACATTAGGATTGAAACTCGGACCTTCCGAATAGCAGTACACAAAGCTTACCCCTCACTTACCGCGGTTCCAGAAAAGGTTTTATAGAACGAGATAATTAGTTAGTTTGCTTCACTTCTTATGGGTAGAGTATATTCAGATTCCTAATGTTAGATGTGCTTTCAACCGTCCATAAGGAAGGAGCTGATACGTGCACATTTTTAGTTCTTCACCGGCACTTTCGAATTGCTCGCTTATTTCAATATAGAAAATGAGAGTAATCGACGTTTCGAATATTATATTAGTATCTTCTTGGTAAATATAATTAATCAGTTGGGCTTGAAATTAATCCTTTGGTGCGCTAACAGAAAAAGAAAGTGTTCGCATTGATTAAGTAATTTTTTTTTAAGAACCTTTAAGGCTTGGATTTTTCGACTTTAAATTGTATTACAAAATGTCTTCGAAGATTTTATTTTGCACAGTAATAAGAGACCCACTTCAAAGAAATGCTCTAAGACTACTCTACATAACAGCATCACATAACCCACAATACAACTCCGTTGCACAACTTGACTTTTTGACAATTTCCTCCGAATGTCTGAGCTTGTGAAGATATTTAAAAACACTTTGGAAAACAATTTTCCCAATATCAAGCTTCAAATTTTTTTAGAAAGTTTATAGCTTTTTTTATAATTTTATTTTATTTCATATTTCACCATCATCATACTTTGCCGTCAGTCGTACAGCGCAGCCATATTGAACTAACTTCCATTAAATGATATTTGAATATTAAACATCTTAGCACAAATACAAATCTATAATCATCTAAATGTTGCATCATTTTCTAATAATTTTCAAACTAACTTGAAATTTTCTAATTTTAATTATTAAATACACAAATAAGTAATACTAAATGCTTCATCGTGTGAGGTTCTTATTTAACAACTATTCTCAAGTAAGCGAAATATTTATTTTCTAATTAATTTTTTAATGTTATTTATTTGTCACTTTGAGATAATTCTGAATGTTGTGAAACTTTATTTGTCGTAATATTTATGGCTTGAGTTTTTTTTTCAACATGTTCGTCAATTAATGTATTTATTTAAACCAACGAGTAAGGAAAATATTTGCCTGCCATTTTTTGTTAGTTTTTCAATGTTGCGCATGTCACCAGTTTTTTTTTAAATGCTCAATATTTTATTTATTTGATTGAATTTTTATTAAAACTTCACGTATTAAGGAAATATTTTTTTTTTGTTAGTTAAGGTAGTATTTTTTATTATATAATTTGAATTCAAAAAAAAATATTTCTATATTTTTTAAACAACACTACATTTGTTATTTTATATTTTGAATTTTATTTTTATTAAATTATTTCATATTTTTTATTTGTATATAAGTAAATAAATATTTTAAGTAAATCCATACTCACATTGAAGAAATTAATTAATGTTATTTTTTCTTAAGAAGTTTGATAGTAAAATTATTTAATAATTTATTTTTAAATATATAAATATATATTTATTTAAACTTTTTATTTACTTTTTACCTACATTAATTTTAATTAATTTCCAATTTTTTTATCTTGTGCGTTCATCTTTTTTTGTATGTAAATCGTTAATCTGCTGCGCTCAAAATTATACAACCAATACGATATTGAAATGCATTAATTTATTTATATATGAATTGAATGCCATGTACAAATACAACATTGCCACTAAAAAAATACCAAAACTCGATGTAAAATGTGTGCGAATATAGTACAAGACAAGTCATCTTCACTGGGGGATCCATTGACGGAACCTGGCGAGTATGAGAATCTACCATTTCATGGTCTGCAAACGGCTCCTAACAAGGTACTTAATATAAATATGTACAATTATCTAACAAATACAAAAGTGATATCATCACATAATATAAAATCATATGATATTAGATCATATCCCATGACATCACATCACATCACATGATATAGCATCACGTCACTTGAACTTTTAGGCGCAACTAGCATATGAATACATACATACACACATTGATATATGCACATTCACAAATTATGATCCACATTTCACGTAATTAGAAAAATCCAGTTATATACATACTTACGTACATACACTACATGCATATCTAAGAACATAAGTGTTCAGTGTTCTGTAGAAAATTTGTCAACGTTAAAAACATTATTATAATTTTTTTTTTTTGCTAAAAACTTCAATATATCATTAGTATGGTTGATGTAAAATGTTGCTTACAATTCATTTATATGCAAAAATTATAAAATTTACAATATATCAGCAAAGAATTTCTGAAAATTTAGTGAAAAAAATGTAGTGAGTACTGAATTTAAAACGAATAAATTAAAGTAATTTTATTTTTATTCTTCTGTTTTGAGAATTTGTGTAGAAAGTGTGTTTATTGTAATGCATCTGGTTACTTTTCATATTTGTATACTATTTGAATTTTCATCAAACATTTACTGTTAAATTCATATTTTCATATTCGCATCTGCCATAATTTTACACTTTTCATTTTGAAATAGTAAAAATCAAGGATTTGATTTCGTGCCGGAAAAAATGTTATTTTTGCCATTTTTTTATTATTTTTTAAACGGAATTATGGAATTTAGGTTATTTTTTCGAACATAGTTTTACATATTCTTTGGTATATTCCATTTTTTGAGAATATTTGTTTCTATAAAACTGGAACTTTAATTAGTTTAATTTATTTAAAATTACCTAAGCTTATTGATACTCAAAAATAGAATACATAAATTGACTTTGTTATTTAAAAAAAACTTTATTTATTTAAAAATATTAACATGTAATATACTATAGATTTTAAATTTCAAACCTTTTTTGTTAGAAATTATTTAATGAAATGTAATTGTTATTTAATATATCTTTTGTGCTTATTTATTTCGAATATATATTTAAAAATGTATGTCTAATTCACAGCCATCGTTATCATCTTTGTAATCAAATTAAAATTCGTACAATTTTTGAATATTTTCAATGGATAAAGAGAATGTATGAATGTGTATTGTTAAAGTTTTATTATTAAATATGGAGTTATCTTTATATTCTTTACTATATTATGAGATTTACCAATTTTATTATCAATATAAAATGTTTTATATTTTCTTTTTTTAAAGCCTTGTTGTTGTACTTTTTATTATTCGAAGTCTATTTTTCGCTTAACAAAGTTTTTATAGAATTATTGATATTTATAGAAATTGAAACCTTATTGTGTAAAAGCGGTAGGGTAATCGTACGCAAAGTATTAAAAAAAGTAAAGATATATGCATAAATGTTTTCAATAAAGGTATTTCCCTAACATTTATTACTAATTTTTAAGTTAGTTTATTTTAATTTATTAACTGTATTTTATTGAAAAGTATCTGATTTAATTTTTTTTACTTTTATTTTTTATCAATTTTTATTACTTAATTTTATATTTAAATTTTAATAAATTTAAATAAGTTCTTTTTGGTCCTCTTTTTAATTTTTTTTTAAATTATTTTATTTATTTAAAAAAAATTTGTATTAATTTATTTTAATTTTATTAAATTTGATTTGATTGCATTAAATTTTAAACTGTTTCAGCTTATTTTGCTTTCAGTTATTTTGTTTTATATCTCATTTTACTTATTTTAAGTTAATATAATTTAACTCTTTTACTTTACTTTATTTTGTTTCAATTTATTTTTTATTTATTTTATTTATTTTTAGTTTATTTTATTATTTTAGTTTGTTTTATTTTATTTTGCTATTGTTTTTCATTTTATTTTATTTTCTTTCATTTACTTTTATTTAATTACATTTGTTTCAACTAAATTTAATTTAATTTAATTTAAATCTATTTTGTTTTAGTTTTTCTTATTTTAATTTATTTTAGTTTACCCCGTTTTGCTTTATTTTAATTTATTTTAAATAATATAATATTATTTAATTTCATTTTGCTTTTACTTTATTTTGTTTTCTGTTTTTTAAATTAATTTAATTTAAAGTATGCCATGTCAATTTTATTTATTTAATTTTAATCTATTTTATCTTATTTTATTTTATATTAGTTAATTTATTTTTGTTTCATTTTATTTGATTTATTTTTACTTTTTTATTTCAAATTAAAATTTAAATAATTTGTTTAAGTTTAGTACTGTTTTATTTTTATTTTATTTCTACATTTAATTTGACTCTATTTTTGTGATTATTTTATATTATTTATATTATTTGTTTAATTTTTTTCTTTTTGGTCAGAGGAAATCAGTAGCTTATTTTGCTTTAAAATATATTTAAATTTCGAAACCACCTTTAGCTCTCTGCTACTAATTCTCAATTTATATGCTAACAAAAGTCACTAACAAAAAACACTCAAAATTCATTGCAAAATAATAAAAAAAAACTAATCCAAAGCATTTCTGCCATTTTTTCGCTCTCCCGCATGTAAACACGCCTCCGCTTTCGCAAATAAAACTCATAACGTATTACAACAACAACAACTAAAATCCTACAAAACAACCGACCGTCTAAACCATCACCATAACCTCCATCACTAACCGCCTTTACAATGCGTCCGACCACTGTGTGTGTCGATTGTTGACCGCACGCACATACACGTGCGCGCAGTTCTCTACGACTCTTACAAATTTTAATAACAACACCAATGTGGTGCGCGTCGCTCCACGACCCAAGAGACTCAATGGAAATATTGGCCAGCAACAGCATCAGCATCAGCTGCAGCAGCATTACGAACAAGACCAGTACGACCAACAATTTCAATATCATCAACACCACCAGCAACAACAACAACAGCAGCAACATCACCAACTACATCAACAGTACAATACAATGCAATATGTTGGCGGAGGGGGACGGGTGATGACAGCGAATCCCCAGCGCCAGCAATCACACACAATGAATTCCCACAACAAAGGCATGATGCAGCAGCACCATCAGCAGCAGCAGCAGCATATGTTGATTTCGGTAGCGGATGGCGGCAGCGACGACGTAACCGACGACATCATTGGCGCAGACAACACAGATCCTGGTGGCAGCGGCTATATGAACGGCAGCATCGGTGGCACTGCACCACATCAAATTACATACAATCTGAATAATTGCTTTCCGAAAAGTTACACGGAATATTATCACCAACAGCAACAGCAGAAGCATAAAAATGGCGCCTCGAATAACACGTCCAGCGCGCAGCTGTTGAATGCCATCGAACATGACTGCCCCACATATGCGATAGTGGAGCGCAATACAGCGAGTGCAGCTGGTCTTGATCCCAGCCCAATACACGCAGATGGTGCACACAATGCACGTAGTGGGGCAGGTCCAACGCTCAGCGCTGCTGCCGTCAGCACGAATCCCTTTCTGGCCATAAGCAATTTTAAAAAATATGACACTGGCAATGGCTCGTCGCCGGATAATGCATATCAACCGCACATACTGGATATCAGCAATACAGGGTCCATGCAACGGACTGCCAAGCGCAGGCCTATGCTAGATGGCTGCAAATCGGAGGATAAGAAATTTTACTCGCTGAAATTCTCCGGTGGAGGCGGCGGCGGTAAAAACAAAACACCACACTCAGCGCATAAGTCGCCGGCGAGTGGTTTCTTGAATGCGTCCATGATTATGCACGGCGGCAATGGTGGTAAATGCAAGCGACATCATTCTTTTGCTGGTGGTAGCATTGGCGATATTGACTCCGCTGGCCCGGGCGCCCAACATAATGCGCATCAGGTTAAATCGTCGGCATTGATGCGCTTCTACGATCCGCCTGCCTATGAGAATTTGTCTGGTGACAACTCAGCTGCTGTGCAGGTGCACGAGTGCGCCGTAGAGGCGCATCCATCGCCAGCCGGTGGCGGTATGAGTGGCACAGCCACCATACTACTACATCCGCAGCCTACGACTAATGGCAGCGGCGCAAGTGGCAGTCAAACACAAGCTGGACAAACGGGTCACAAGAAAAAACATCACCATCGCCAACACCAGCAGAAGGATGATTTCAATTTGATTGAGCCGGAACGATTGAGCATATATCGCAGCGATTCGGGCATTTCGAATAGCTCGTATGAGTGCGTTACGCCCGTGCCACCGCCGCCGGGAAGCACGCGCACAACGGCTGTAATCAACGGTCACGCGGCAACACCAAAAACGCCCAAAGGCTCCAAATTGGCGAAGCATGCTTCCACCCACGCTGGTAGTGGTGGTCCGAGTCATAGTGGTGGTGGACTCGTCAATGGCGTTAATTATAAGAAGACTATGCGTCAGCTCGGTGGCAGCAAGTGTAACATTGCGAATGCAACCGCCAGCGGCACTTCGTTACCCGTTTATATGAACGTGGACGGTCAGCCTACCAACGCGTATGAACGCTCCTGTTCGCCTAGTTCCGGTCTCGTCAATTCCTCCTACGAATCTGCGTCGTCCTCCCAAAATGACGGTCACGGCGGACCAGGCTCTACAGATCCCACGTCCTTGTCATCATGCAACTCGTTGTACAGTAGCGGCACCGGTACGCTAATTGGTGTGACTCCGCTCATGAAAACGGGTGGAGTGGGTTTAACAGCTGCTCGTTGTGGGCTCCATCAGAAACCTGCCGAAGTGACTACGCCTGAAGAGTATGAACAATATCAGCTAGGCCACCACCGTCATTCCGCCTCATCGCTTAGTGTTGCAAGCACAGTAAGTGCAAGTGGCACACGTCGTTGCAAAAAACAGCAATCCGCTTTGGCACCGGCTGGATCTGTAACAGGGATTGAGGTTTGTAGCTTTTTGACTAACCACTAATGCTTAAGCTTAACCAGATAACACAAAAGCATTCGCAGGAAAACTCATTTGAATTAATTTTACTTATTTTATGTTCTAAAGAGGTACATACCAGAAAGGTTAAAAAAGGTTAAATTACTACAAACAAATTCACTTTAATTTTTTTTAAGCTTTCGTACAAAAATTCATCCTCGAAGATATTTCAAATATAATTTGTTCTTGTTTGTGTCCTCTGAAAAATCTATCAAATGTTGCGAGGCAGTCTAGACTAGCTAAAAAATATTAAGGAGTTTGGTATGAGTCCAAACTATACTCTTGATAAAGCGCAATTGAGGTGGGTTCCTATGGTAGATTAAATTTTTACCACTTACCTTCTTATGACTTACGTTACTGTTTTTTTTAGATCTGTGAACATGAAGTGATGAGTCATTATAATTATTTATTTTTGCTTTTCATTTGAACTTACGTACCAACACAATTAAATGAGAAGCTCTAGTCCTTGAAATGGTCGAAATTGCTCTTAGGTCCATTTCTCGGTAGTCCGCATTTTTTTAAGCTAAGATAATGAGGACTTTAAATCAATAAAATGGTCACGAGAAGTACACTTACTAACTCTTATTCTTATGGCAACACTCTCATGCTTACAGTGGGCGCATTTAAACTGTAATATCAATCAAAAGAACTATTTCAGTTTAAAGTGCTTGTTTTCTAGAGAATACCACATGTTCTTAAGGAACTAATCTACTACACGTGGGAATACAAAAGATTTCTCACAATAACCGATAATATATTTGCATTCTTTGTTCCCAAAAATTATTTTTTCGACTTCCTTAGCAAGCAAAATTTAAATATTCACCAAATTATTATACTTTTGAAAATTTCTATTACACAGGGTGTTCCATCCTTTATGTCGGTATGTAAACATTGAATAACATTGAGAAAAAACGACCGATTTCTATAAGTGATGTATTTTTATTTAGTTTGGTGCCATGCAACCTTTTGAAAACAGTACCAATAAAGTGTCTTCCATTACTTTTTCGCGTATCTCGGTTGTTATAGCGGCGATTTCAGCACGAATGTTTGCCTTGAGCTCATCAATAGTTTGAAGTTGGTTGGCGTAAACATTGCTTTTCAGGTAACCCCACAAAAGGAGCCCGGGGGGGGGGGGACAGGTGATCTGTCAGATGGTGCCTCTTTGCCGCAATATTTTTTCCGATTTGCACTTTGAGTTAACACAATGAATCGACCGTTTTCAATGTGAAGTGGCACTATTTCAGCGCGTTGTTTCGGTGTGAAGCGATCCACAGCAAAAATTTTACTGAATTGACGTTTCCAAAATTTCATCGTTTACATACCGCCATAAAATATAGAGCACCCTGTATATACTATAGCAGTAGTTAATAAATATAGGTGCATGCCGAAGATGCATATGCTTCAATAGGTTTATTTATTATTTGTGAATAGCACCAGCTTCGTCTTACACCAAGTCCGTTTTATGCGGTTCATGACTGTAATCTTCGTAAGGCTCTCTCCATAATCTCACTGATTTAAAACAGAGAAATCCTGATATTATCAACATGATATCGTCTGCATATTCTTCTACTATTAATCAACAGCACCACCCATAGAAGTGGGAATAAAATACTTCTTGGTGGTGTCTCTTGTCCACAGTAGACATTAGTTTGGTTCCTTGGAAGCAGCTCAAAATATACCACACCCTTCCAATCGCACCAAACTGACAGCATAATCTTCTTTCGTGAATATCAGCTTTGAAGTGGTTTGTGGAGCGTTATCATACTTTGACTATGATCATATTCGATCAATCCATTTTCAGCTTTAGTTATGATTTGCTTCAAAAAACGGAGCATTTTCATTGCGTTTAAGATGCATATCATAAGCGCTGAAGCGGCTTGTGAAATTAATTTCTTTCAATTCATTTGGTACTCGAATATCGTATATGGTAAGAAAACGTTGTTTTTGATATACTTAACTTCTCACCAATCTGATGATCAGTTACAAGCTTTGGTATCGTCATGATCAAGTTCACTTGACCCACCTGGTCCACCAACTTTGACACTTTGTATCGTTTAATGCCATATCACCATACAAATTATGCAAATTTTTAGCAATCTGCGCAACATATTTTTCCTTTTAGGAAATGATAAAGAAAAAAAATGTCGAAAATGTGTTTTTGTGGGCTCCAAAACAAATAAAAAAAGTTTTGTGTACTTTTTTTCTAAAACAAGCTGAAAGTGACAGTTAATAATGGTCGAATGAAGAAGTAAAATTATATAGCCACGAGCTGTTCAAAAAAATGTTTCGTTTTGGCAACCCAACTCTTTGTAACCACTGAAGCGATTTTCGGCCGAGCTCCTCCTCTAATTGGTGGTTTTGTGTCTTGATGTTTTTTCTTAGTTTGTTAAAATATTTATTATATTTTATATATATTTTTGTTTATTGTGAGTTCTGCTCCCAAATTTTGTTCTCATTTCTACCACCTATTACCAACTGATTACCTCTCTCTGCTTCGAATTTTTAAATGTATTTTTTTCGTGATTTGGACATTAACTACCTTAATAGGGAAGTGAATCTCAGGAAAAAAGCATGTTTCAAGCAAGTGTTTTTGAATTAAATTTAAAACTTTCTTTATCATGCTTATAAATAACTGAATAATGTGAAATATTCAACAATTTGCTCTATAACTTTTTGTCATTTTGAAGGTCATTATTCTCTGTTATAGAAATCTTTATTCCCAAAAATTGAGGCAATAGATTTTCAACTCCTTCTCTTGAGCCCAATTCTTCACCAGCCAAATCATTCACCGTATACTGGAACAGTAGGTAATCACTTGGTGCGTGGTTCGTTTATAAGGTGAATGCATAAGAATCTTCCAAGCAATCCTTCGAAACTTTTAGAGAGTCACTATCGATATGTGTGGTCTGGCGGTTACTGATATTATTCGTCTAAATAAAGAGCTTGGCCGTATAGGAGCGGCACATAGTGGATAATTTCTTGCCAAGCACCCAAAAAAATGTTCAATCCTGGCTTGAGGAGTGAATTACTGCCCTTCGAATATAACTATTTTCATTTTACGTTGCTGTAAGTGATCCATTTTTCACCACCAGTCACCATTTTCTTTAGTAAATGATCGCTTTTATTACGATTCAGCAGTGAATCGCAAATGAAACTTCGGTCCATGAGGTCTTTTCTTTTTAACTCATGTGGCACTCTTACATCAATCACACTTGTGTATCAAGCCTTTTAAATTGGTTCTAAACGGTTTTCCGTAATGTCTACCTTCTGAGCAATCGAAGCAGCGATCACATTATGGTCAGACTCGGAGATTTCCATTATTTTATCGACGTTTTCAACAACCCTAACGAATTTAAAAAAGTTACAAATTATAAATAGACACTGGTTGAATAACAGTGTTGAGAAAAGAACAAACAGACCTAAAAGCAAAACTATTAAATTTGAGAGCAGTATTAAATAAAAAATCCGAAAATTATTCTGGGTTAATTTTTTTTATTTAATATAATTTTTTTAAGCCTCATAACAAATCAGTCATTTCTTATAATTTTAATAATTTATTTAACCATTTTTTATTTTTATATTTATTTTCCTTACATATTTTGTTAATAAATTTGGGCTTCTCATCAACAACATCAACACGACAATGCTTTTTTTTGCCTCAAAATATCACAATTGCCTTCATCACATCCGTACATGTTTACATGTTGCATGCCACCATTAACCCGATAATTATATCTTTGCTTGTAATCGCAATGACCCCCAAAACACTAACTAACAGCATTATGCTATTGGCGTCACTAATCCATTTGCAGCAAACAAACGGTGTGCAACAGCGGCCGCCTGCGCTGCCAACGCCGCCACCGCCACCCACAGCATCGGCGGCTGCAGTAAGAAACTACGACGAAAGACTATCAGCGACCCCTACGCACATATCCGCTACATCACCCACGGCAGCGGCAGCGCCTACGGGCACGCCAATCACTGCACAAGCGACAACGGCGCTCTCGAACGCCAAGCACACGCCCACAATTATTGCGCCCAATCTGCGTGTTGCGCGCTCGAAGCAGCAGCAACAGCAACTTCAACAGCATCATCTCAACAACAGCAAATTAGGCTACAACAACACCATGACAACAACAATGGTCGCCAGCGTCAACAGCAATATAAACAATCGTTGCTAATCCCGCGAAAATTACACACCGGCGACGACAGGAGCCACGATGATGAGGACGGCGATGGCGATGAGGACGATGTTGACGGCAATGGTGACCACGACAAGAAAAGGAATGTTGCAATTTGCAAGCAACAGCAGTGCAGATTAGTGCCGTTGGGTGGTAATGCTGCTGAGGTAAATATGGTTGCTGTTGCTGACGCCGTCTGCAAGAATACTGCCGCCAATGCAGCTCTCTCAGATGACTCCACTGTTGCCAGCTGCATTGATACCACCACAAATTCATTGCTGCCGCATGTTGGCGACTACGAAAGTACAGCAACAACAACTTTAGCAACAGCTGTTACACTAGGCGATTATTTGGCGCGGCGTCCAGTCATGCTGCCACTGCGCAAATATCATAGTTTCCATTTTCAACCATCGCAAACGGTTGCCGGCACATTACGTCACTGTAAATTGCAGCAATTACGCATGCAAATGCAACACAAACAACAACAGCAAGAGGAAGGTGAGGACGAGGACGAGGAGAACCAAAATGTACGAATGCGAGAAACTAACTTCGAGCAAAGTACCCAGTACCGACAGCAACAACTTGACGTTACCGTTACTAACGCTAAGGTCAGCGCACGTCCAACCAAACGGTATGCAATCGAAGGTGGACCGCTTGTCTTTCGGCCGCTCTCCTGGCATGAACAACGCACTTTCAAGCCAATTTCATCGCCAGTTGCCGGTGTTGAAGAGCAGAAAACTACAGAAAATGAGGACATGGCAACAACCAAGTTAAAGGTAATAAACCCACAGCAAAGCCGTGCCGATGAAGAGGAAGAAAAATCCGAAATGAGCGAGGAGCTGGCAGAAGAAATCAAACAAATCACGAGAAGTGCGCAATTACCGCATGTAAGCCTTAATCCTGCCGCATCGCTGGAGGCCTTAGAAGCACTGACCAAACATCATCCCGAGTTAATTTATGCTACCAAACCGGGCACACGTCAGAATCTACACAAACAACTGGCACTGCCACAGCACTGGACACAGCAAGTAACCAACGATGAAACTCGCAAAACCGCAGGCAGCGCGTCGTTCGAGAAACACACGGGTGAAGAGAAATGCGAAAAAACTGCAGCTGTGGCAGCAAACGACGAAGATGATGAAGAAGATTTGGGCTATTCCTTTTGCGAGGACTACGACGATGATGACTGCGCAGAAACTGTAGACGGAGAGTTGTTGGACGAAGCAAGGGTAAGCAGTGTACATCCAAATCAAAGTAGTGACTCAGCTGCCGGTGCACAAGCACGCGCCGTCGTCACTGCGGAATCGCCACGTGTGGTGCTCTCTGCTGGACGTGATGGTGGTCATGTGAAATATATGCTGCGACAAAGCTATCGTGAAGTGCATATTTAAATAAATAAAAAGTTTGGCTCAATTGCTACAATAACAATCAAGCATAAAATACATATAAATATCTTAAAAAAAATTAAAAATATGAAGCAAAAATAAATTCTAAAAAAATAATATCAAATAAAATAAAATAATATAGATTAATATAAATTTAATTAAATTAAAAATTCATAAAAATTATATAAAAATAAAAAAATAATTAAATCGAAGTAAAGGTAGTTTAAAAAATTTAATAAAATAAAATATTTATTTATTTTATTTTAAAATAAAATGAAAATAATTGAAATAAGTAAAAAAAAAAACTAAAATAAAATAAGAAAAAATACTGCAATTGAAAATAAAAACAAAATAAAATTAAAGATAAAAAAATAAATAAATAAAATAAAATAAAAAATTAAATAAAAATTAATTTAAAAAAAAATACAAAAATAAATTAGTTAAAAAAAAAAACTAAAAAAATATCTAAGAAAATTATATATTAATATTAAAATATAAAATAAAATAAAATAAAATACATAACAAATAAATAAAATAAATTAAAGTAAAGAAAACTAAAAATATAAAATAAAATGAAACGAAAAAATAATAAAAAAAAAATACATAATTTAAAATAAGGTGAAAGTATATAATATTAAATTAAAATAAATTTAGTTAAATTAAATTTAACGAAATGCAAAGAAATAAAATAAATAAAATTATATCAAACGCAATTAAACAAAAAAAATAAAAGTTAAATGAAATAAAATAAATAAATAAAAACTAAAATAAAAGAAAATAAAATTAATATAAACAGGCAAACAAGAAGTACAACCAAATTAAATTAAATTAAAAATGAAAAATGAATTACTAAAAAATGAAAGAAAAAAATTAAATAAAGTAAAATAAAAAAACTCAAACAAAGTAAAGTAAACAAAATAAAATACAATAAAATCAAATCAAATTAAAAAAATAAAAAATAAAATAAAATGAAATGAATAAAATTAAAGAAAATAAAATAAACTGAAATGAAAACAAGAAAATTAAATAAAATAAAAAAAAACATGTAATTGAAAACTAATGTCATCAATAAAAAGCTGCCCCATAAGCTATTAACCGCTGTTGGGTGTATGATTTTCATTGAAGTACGTAGCGGCAACCATAAAATATTGCAACATTTAAAATAAAAGTAGGAAATTTGCCAGAAACGTTTGTAAATAAATGCTGAAACAAAGAAACGATACCAAAAATTTCAAAATAACATTAAGAATGATGCGGCAAGAAATGATAAAAGATATGCATGTATCGTCATTTATGTAAGTAAGTAGCCTATATATAAGAATGTATGTACGTGAATTTAGTTTTAGTTATTATAAATATATTTATTGTAAATGTAAGTATATACACATGCATATATCCAAATACACATATTTGTAGGTAAATTACTATCAACGTGTTAAGTTTGTTGGTATTTTTCAATTAAAACTAAGTAATATGAATATAAATTAAATAAAAAATACAAATATCTCCAGTTTGGTTAGGTATTGGATTTATGAATATACATACAGAATTTTAATATTAAAAAACACTCAAATTAATAAATACATACATATAATATTTATTGTGTAAAGTATCAATGTTGAAGCAAATATATGTATATAAAGTACCTTCATAAATTAATTCAATTAAGATTTATATGTATACTAACAAGTGTTACATATGTTTGTACGTCACAGTTATAATTGTAGTTTATGAGTATATATGTGTGTAGTTAAACTATGGTTTTATGAAACAATTATTTTAATAAATCCATTAGCAGGTGTAAATATTTATCCACGCAATTTTTTTTTAACTATTTAATCATGGAAGAAGCCACAGTTATGACAATATTTATTTATTAAATTATTAAGAGTATGTTAATTTATTATAGTTATTTATTAAATTTAGTACGATATAAACTTATATTTAAAAAACCTAAATTTAGTTTTTCAACGAAAATTTTAATTTTAAAACATTTATTTACCATTACAAATATAACTTATTTATTTACACCATACGTGTTTTTCTTTTATTTGCATTAAATAAATATTATTTTTCTCTTGATGCTAATAAATCAATTATTATAACCCAAAAATTTTATAATATTATCAATTATTAATTAACATCTGAAAACAAATATTTTTTTATATGAAATTTCCAAAGACTTTAATGTAATTAATTTATTATATAGTTTTTACTATTTTTAAATATATAAAATTTAAATAAACTTAAAACACATGAATTGAGTTTTTTCTATAAATTTTGCATAATTCTACTTTTTAAAACAAAACATGCGTATGTAAGCTTGCCTAAAGTGAACTACAATTCTATAGTATTGATTACTTTGAACAACTCAGATTTCATCACCTTTTGACCTTAGGCCTTTTATGATTCTAACAAAGTTAATGTTTGCGAAGCCTTGTGACCAACTCTCAGACGCTCACACCAAAATAATAAAATGAAATAATGCAAAACAAAATGATATAAAAAATAAAATAAAATAAAATAAAATAAAATAAAATAAAATAAAATAAAATAAAATAAAATAAAACAAAATTAAATTAAATTAACTTAAATTGAGTAAATTGGACAAAAACATAATAAACTGAAATTCAATAAAATATTAATTAAAAGAAAATTAAATAAAATAAAACAATATCAAATAAAACTACTTAAAATTAAATTAAATCAAAAAATAAAATAAAGTAAAATAAATCAATAGAAAAATAGAAAAATAATAATAAACCAAAATAAATAAAAACAAAATAAAATGAAATAAACTAATACTATTTTATATAAAGTTAAAAAAAGATAATTTATAGTTAAATAAAAGTTTTGCAATAAAATAAAAAAAAAATAAAAAAATAATAAAAATACTATAACGTGAAATAAATTGAACAGAAAAATTAAATAACATGAAAGATAAAAACAAAGCAAAACAAAAATTATTTTAGAAAATAAAATAGAATAATATAAAAAATTAGATAAAGTAAATAAACTAAATAAAAAAAAAATTTATTAAAATAAAATATATTTAAACTAAATAAAACATAATAATTTAAATTTGAAATAAAATAAAATAATATAGTAAATTAAAGTAAAATAGGATAAAAAATAAAAACAAAAAATATATTTGAACAAAAAAAAATTAAATAAAAAAATTAAATACGATATCTATATAATTGGCGCATTGTAACCGCTGAAGTGATTTGCGGCCGAGCTCTGCCTCCAATTGTGCGTTTTGCATCTTGCTGTTTTCCCAGCAAATAAATAAAACAAAATAGATGATAAAAAAGTTTATGAATAAAAATATAATTAAAATATTATAAATAAAATACCAACAAAACATAGTAAAAAACCAAATCAAACATAAAAAATTATGTATAAACAAACAAGGATAACTTAATAAAAAAAAATATTATTACAGTATAAGTATTTTTAATTTGAACAAACTTGAACTTAATTGTTTTTTCTTTATAAATTAAATAATTAAAAGTTAACTACTTTTTTTTTAATTATTTATAAAGGCTTAAAGGAAAAAACGTTCGTTAAAAATTAGAACTTTGGAATAAAAGTGTTTCCAAGTTTAAAAAAAAAAATCATGCGTCCTCCAAA